CGTTCCATGAACGAGAGGTCCACAAATTGAACGATCAAACCTTTAAACAGTTAGGATCGTCTCAAATTCCCATCTTGGTCAAACCTTTAAACAGTTAGGACCAAAGCCAAAATTCCCTCTCGATTCGTTCCATGAACGAGAGGTCCACAAATTGAACGATCAAACCTTTAAACAGTTAGGATCGTTCTCAAATTCTCACTTGGTCAAACCTTTAAACGGTTAGGACCAAAACCAAAATCCCCTCTCGATTCCTTTCATGAAAGAGAGGTCCACAAATTGAACGATCAAACCTTTAAACAGTTAGGATCGTCTCAAATTCTCACTTGGTCAAACCTTTAAACAGTTAGAACCAAAGCCAAAATCCCCTCTCGATTCCTTCAATGAACGAGAGGTCCATAAATCAACCGATCAAACCTTCCTACAGTTAGGATCACCTCGAAACTCTCACTTGGTCAAACCTTACTACAGTTAGGACCACAACCAAAATCTCCTTTCGATTCATTTTGCGAACGAAAGGTCCAGCTTTGAATTGAATAATCAAACCTTATGACAGTTAGGATTATTCAAACCAATCAAGATTCTCTAAGTGGAGATCCCACTTTGAGTTTCCCTTTGCACCAGGAGATAGAATATAAAATTCTTCCTCTCCAATTTTGGGTTTATCTCTACCAACAAACAAGAGACCAGGAGATAGAATATAAAATTCTTCCTCTAAACAAAAGACCAGGAGATAGAATATAAAATTCTTCCTCTCCAATTCTGGGTTTATCTCTACCAACAAACAAGAGACCAGGAGATAGAATATAAAATTCTTCCTCTCTGATTTTGGGTTTATCTCTACCAACAAACAAGAGACCAGGAGATAGAATATAAAATTCTTTCTCTCCGATTTCGGGTTTATCTCTACCAACAAAAAAAAGAGATCACATTACTCCAATAGGTACACGAGTCTAAACTGTTTCCCTACCATCAACAAGAAGTTTCTAGAGAATATCACTCAAAATATTCTTAAGAATAACCTGGCTACCTCCCAACGGGTATACGAGGTTAAACTATTTCCCGAGAACTTCAAAAAAAAAAAAAGTATAAACTGTGTTCCTATGAAGACTGATACAGTGATTAACAATGCGGTATCAATTTGATGACAAAAGCTGAATTCACAAGTATAAATTCCAGCTTCAATTCAAGATCTCGACGACGGTCAAGCGATGAACGCCATACCGAAATGACCTTAGCTATTCTACAAAGCACTGAATAGACTGAGAGACAAAGAGATCAAGTGTTGAAGCCATCTACAGGTTCTTCTATACGATCTACCCAACCAAGCATTGAAATGATCATAAGTAAGACCTATCTTATCCAAAGCATCCCAGAACTCCTCTATAAAAGATTGAGTCTGGAATACTTTGGAGGGGGTATCTGTAGGCGTCAAAAAATGCTGAGAGATATCCAAACACAGCTCAAAAGGAAGTCATCCAAAATGTCAAAAAGAACACAAGTATAGACTGTCTCGCACGCGAGACAGTCTTTACTGTCTCGCACGCGAGACAGACTTGACTGTCTCGCGGGCGAGACAGACTTTTACTGTCTCGCCCACGCGAGACAGTCTTTACTGTCTCGCAGTGAAGGCAGTACGTCAGAGACCAGCTAGAACCCTACAGCCTTTACCCATTCCAGAGTGAAAGTGGGAAGATATATCTATGAATTTCATTAAAGGGATGCTAAGATCAAAGAAAGAAAATGAATCTTTTGGATGATAATTGATTCGTTGATGTAGTCGGTGAAATTTTGCTGTGAAAACGACTTGTACAGTGGAGATGTATGCAAAGATATTTGTCCAGGAAATAGTATGATTTCATGAAAGTTGGTTTTGTCATGGAATTCATTATATCTTCGTTTGATTACAACAAATTCAAAGAAATAGCCTTTTTATAAGACTTCTTTTACACAACAAAATAAAAATTACAACTCTTGGGAAACAAACGCAGGATCGTTGTTTGGATCACTGCTTGCGTGGGATCTTTGCCTGTGCCGGGGGTGCGTTAGCCCGTGCCACCAAATCACAGATTCTGATTGAATCGTGAGGGGTTTATGATTCTGACTTCGTTTATCGAAGTGAGAACTTGAAACAATATCTTATCAAGGTAAGATAGTCGTTCTTCTTGAAATCAAGTCAAAGCCTGAATATCAAGGAGCTACAGAAGCTCGAGTACTCTGCCCTCTGCTCTGAAATCAGCCTGTGGATGCTCTCTGATCAGCCCCCGTCAGAAATGACCCTAGGGGGGTATTTATAGCCTCTGGGGTTCATAACTAACAAAACTCAACAAAAGACAGAATTAATATGGCGAGACAGTGTTTACTGTCTCGCTGGCCGAGACAGTGTTAACACACACTTAGATATGAAGAGATTGAAAAGCTCATTTGGATTCAACTGTTTATGCAACTGCCAGATGCCTCCTGTTCTTAAAGGCAGGTCAACATATTGCTTAACTTTAGCTTTGTTTGCAGCAAACATTATTCTTTCATTATTCTTGAAGAACATTATTCATATGCTACCTATATGTTTTGCTTACTTGATCCGCCAACTGTTCCTAGGGGTTATAAATACCCCCCGAATGCCATTTTTGAGAGAGGCTGATCATTTTGAGCACTTCAGAGCAGAGAGAGCAGAGTTCCTGAGCTTCCGGCAATTCCTTGAGATTCGAGCTTTGACTTGATCTTAAGAAGAACGACTATCTTACTTTGATAAGATATCGTTTCAAATTCTCACTTCGATAAACGAAGGAAGAATCATTAAACCCCTTACGATTCAATCAGAATCTGTGATTTGGTGGTCCACGAGTCAAAGCGCTCCCGGCACAGGCAAAGATCCCACGCAAGCAGCGATCCAAACAACGATCCTGCGTTTGTTTCTCAAGAGTTGTAATTTTTTCCTTTTGTTGTGTAAAAGGAGTCTTATAAAAAGGCTATCTCTTTTTTTTTTAAATTTATTGTAATCGACCGAAGATATAATGAATTCCACAACGAGAGCAACTTTTGACGCAAACATCCATCTCACACACTTTTCTCCCCCTCTCATCGGCATCCTAAAAATCACCCAAATTCTTTAAACGCTAATACATATGCAGTCGATCAATGGAAATTGAGAAGTTTTGTATTAGGAGGCAAGGATAGTAAAAACTGCAATGTCAACTTACAACAAACATGAAGCGACTGTTTGGCTTTATAATTTACTAACTTATAGGTAACTTTAAGTCATAGGTATAGGTTTGCAAACTGTAGCTTAAAAAATTTGTCATGTCCTGGATCTGCGAGCCCGTTCGCGTGGTGTAAGCTAGGGGAGCCACTGAGTGTAGCGCGTTGTTTGGCCCAAATCACTGCCTAAATCGACTAGCCGATGCTACACTTGAATCTCAAGGCTTACCTTATAAATACGGCCTATTCATTGTCACCACTTGATGTGGGACTAAAGTTTGGGGTGTCGCAAAACTGCTAGTCACAGTTTTTCTAAAGTGCAGTTTAATCACCTTCTTTTTACTTGCATCTTTTTCGGAGTAATAAAATAATCACTTTCCCTGTCAGAAAACCAACCTCTTCCTTCTTCATTTGTGTGTGTGTACATTTAGCATTCATGGAAATCTATGGAAGCTGTGTCCTGCAATCATCAGCAACATCATCATCCATGGGTAATCCTTGACTTTTGGTCAACAACAACTATGGATTAGAACATGGCTGCCAATATTGGTAGGACTTTCGATCATCTGTGGGCTAACAAGACGTCAACCATGGCCGGAGTGGATCATCCATTTTTTTGTGGGCTAACCATACCTTATATCAGAGACATCGGTCACTCTACAGACTCCATTGACACCATCTTTGGGGCTAACCTTTGATAGCACTTGCTGGGGGTATCGGGTCTCTTTCAGGAGTTAAATGAGTTTAAGTGTAGGTTGGAAATTAATCTGACACAAAGATATAGCTACTAGGTATTCGCCCCAACTCTCTATTGAAAATTGAAATTCCTTACTCTTTTAAACATTTGAATTTTCCATCTATTTCTTTGTGATGTCAGGTTCATGCTGATCATTCTTTCGATCGTATAGCAGCAGTAATAGCGTATGAAGAGTGAAGAATGATGAAGGATGCTAGATTCTATATTCTATTAAATAATCCTCCAATTGATATTTCAATCCAGATTCAACCTAATTCCTAAAAATTATTCTGCTCAAGTTCTGGTTGATGATAAATTGCACATTTTGCTGGCCCAGAATTTTTAGATCTTTGGCATGGAACACAATTTTCTCAGGCACAATTGTTTTTCCATTCAAGAATTTTATAAGAATCCTATCGGCTTTATTACTCTTCGCTGTCACCTCATTTGGTGATGTTGGGACACTAACTATGGTACAAGTTCTAAATAATGAGCTATGATATTTCAAGTGGTAGCTCTACTCTTGTTTTGCACGTATCGTATTCATAAATGCAGCCAAATCGCCAACTTCACTGATATATTAACTTTTTATTCACAAAAGTCTAATGAACTATGCATCACACTGAAGATATGCACACACATATATGTTTTTAACATGTTTGATAAGGTATTTTGCAAAGGTTCTATATTCTATCAAATATCCAAACTCCAAAGTTGTTGAGTGATTAGTTGATTTAGAAGCATCCAGACTTGTGTATGGACAATTCAGCATGACTAGTATGTGAAGTTTTCTTGCTAGCAAAGTCATCATGTTCCATTTTGGATAATACTTGTTGTGCAAATTTTCTTGCAAATGCTTCTAATTTTAATTGTGTTTTTCCATATTGCTTCTATATATAACATATGTTGTTTCCATATTAGACGCACTTTCTTGAGCTTCTGAATCATCCTGTTTAACTGTTGAATATTTCCTCTCTTTATCTAAAGCTTGTTATACACAAAGCAACATTTCTGCATGAGTTTTCTTATACCTCCAGTGTTGTGTATCACGGCCTTTATGTTGATGCAGGCTTCTTGTGCATTGAGTTTCTTGTAAGATTGCTCCTAAATCCTGCATGTGGTGAAATGGTAGGTGTTGAATGCAGCAATGCTATACTGGCCAACAACTAACATGCTTTATGTGGAGGGATATGCGCTTGATAGATTTGCAGAAGGATCTTGGGCTTTGGAGCCTGTCCATCAAAATAGGGTATGTATAAAATCACAATCCTAATGTTCAACGTAAAAAATAATCATAACTTTTTATGGTTATGATTTGTTGGATGTTGTGGAGGAGTACTTCCAACTACTTGGCATTCATGTATATAGTATAAGGGTTATCCTCTAAATATAATATGGGATAAATGGTTCGTGTTTTTCCTCCTCTGATTTAAAGATTCTTTCTACGTAATTTTGATTAAAGAAGGGTGTGACTACCACACTCTATGTTAAAGTTATAAAAGTAGATCTAACATTTAGTTAATCACTTACTTGCCTAGCAATATTAAAACCAGAAGCTGGTGCAAATTTATCAGAAAGTTTTTAGTTCATAATTTTAGGAGTTACTCCTAAGCCACTGCATTAGATATTAAACTGTTTTAACTACTCTTTGGGATTAGTAATGTCCCATATTTAACCTTGCCCAATTTTATAAAGTTGCTGAACAGATAATATTAGCAAATAGTATCTGAGATTATAAGACTGGGGTAAGCTGTGCCAGTTTCTAATTGCTGTGAAAATCGTCTGTTTTGTTGATTGAATCTGTCTCAGATTTTTTAACCCTATCCTTTCTCCATTTTTTAGATTCCTGGAATCAATGATTCACCTCTTTAGGACCTTTGTAGAATCTTTCGCTCTGAAAATTTTCTGTAATCAATGTTAAAATTCTTGTAAATTAGCTAGATTGAAACAGATTTTATAATTTAACAATATTTGGGGTGTAAAGGGGTTATGGTGAATTGTTGATTTCTAGAGGCCTAAATTAAATGGGGAAAAAGATCTTTGCTCTTTCTTTTTTTGGGTGAATGGGGCGCTTGGGGTTTGAAGAGTTCCTAGATTACCTCAGTGGCCTCCACATAATTTTCCCAAAACTCAATTGCCATTGTTATCAAGGTCGAAGGTTGTATATACATCTTCATATGAATTTAAATTCATTGGAAATTGCCCCTTTTTTATTACACAAAGTTACTTAAGAAAGAATGTACAATACAGATCATGAAATATATGGAATCCCAGCAAAACTTCGTTCTTCCATTCAGACCAGCTACAGTTGTGAGAACAAAGAATCCAATTGGTTGTCATTTCGATGTAGGTTGAGAGTTAGTGAAAGAAACATGATAAATTTGATTAGCAAGGATAAAAAATTCTTTGATATCAAATACGTCGTAGTGGGAAACTAGTGAAGAAGAACACCCAAGGCTGTTGCCAAAATATTGGTCTGCGGTTTGTGTCACTTTTTGTATTGGAAAACATTATAACATTGAAAACCAAAAATACTGCTTATTGCATATTCTCTCAGTAATTGCATGGTTAGCTTATTAAGACATATCAAATAAGGTTTGATAGGAAACTCAGTACGATCAGTCATTGGTCTTATCAAAATTGGTTTTACCGATTGTCTTAACAGTTTTTTTACCACTGGAATATAGGTAGGTTTGGTCCTTGATGCTGGAATGGAGGAAGAACTTCGTATTCGCCATTTACAGGTTGCTGATGCCACAAGGGCTTCCTTAGGTCTGCCTGTGGTGGAGTACATTGTCACTGATACACCTCTAGAGGTGCTCATCAAACTCATATATAGTTGTCTCTAATAATATTCAGTTTTGTGATGTTTTACCTTTTTCTGAATGTTGTTCTAGTTTCAAAAATGTTTGCTACCATATCTCTTCATTTGAAGTCTAACTTCGGATAAGATGTAATGATAATTTTTCACGTTTCTTTTTAACCAAGCTAGCCAAATAAAAAAAAAATCCTGTTTATTATAGTTGTATTCGCTGGAAATTTTTCAAATTGTACTCGATAGATATCACAATTTTGATGGAATGAGGCCTGGATAATGGTGGTGTTTAAATAATTATCACACTTCAACGTCACGAATGATACACGGTTACGTTTTTAGAATCTCCAGCAACAAAATCTGATTGAGGTTGCTGATTGTTTCATAGGTTGAAATATGGATCGATCCCACATGTGGAAAATCAACAGGAAGGATTAAACATCCTGGTTCATTATTGAGGGCAGTGCATGCTCTAGTTAACAAGTCTAACATAAATGCAGTAGCAGTTGTGGGCCGCTTCCCAGATGATGATATAGATGAAATTGAGGATTATCGACAAGGAAAGGTGAATGTCAGATGTTTTTTCTTTTTTCCCCTTCTATTTATGTCTATAAAAGTACATCTGAAAGAAGTAGCTTTAGATTGTTTTAACTTTTGAGAGTCTGCACTTAGCAGGGGGTGGATCTATTGGCTGGAGTTGAAGCAGTTATAAGCCATCTTGTGGTGAAGGAGTTCCAGATTCCATGTGCTCATTCACCTGCATTATCACCTCTTCCTTTGACCTCATCACTATCCCCAAGATCTGCTGCCGAAGAGGTCACTAAGAATCTTATGCCAAATGAATTTTTCTAACCTTGCTTGTCTATATCTACTCTTCAGCTTAGTTACACTTATTTTTTATTCACTAAAATAGAACCTATTGTTGAGATCAGACATATTAACAAAAACAATCATTCATTCTCTTAATAGATCAATTGAAATACCAACTTTCATCAACCAGCCTATCTACATCGATGTAGTACATGATTTCTATCATGAAAGAAGATATGACATTTCTTGAAATCTCATAGATCTTTGCTATATATAGATAAATTTTAGAAATTGTTCACTTGCATAGTGTATTATCCATGTGCCACATTTGTGTTCATGCTCCTTATATCGATACTGGCGTCACTTATTAGCGAACTAATCTGCTTTTGTTTGCTGATCTTGGATTTGATATATCAAAGTCCGGAACTGTCAGATTTTCAGTATATTCTTTGCAACAATAATCTGCTTTTGTTTGCTGAACTTGGATTTGATATATCAAAGTCCGGAACTGTCAGAGTTTTAGTATATTCTTTGCAACAAGCTTTTGGCACTTTCCTGTACGAGTCTGGTGATATTTGATATATTGTTTGCAAGGTAAAGTTTGGTGGAAGTAAATTGTTAACTTTTAGAAAGTAAGTAAAGTTTTTTGATTATTTCTTCTTCTGACGAGTATAAAACCATGATTGTTGTAGAATAAAAAAAATCCTGACATCCCCATTCAAGTTCCAACTCTAGTGAATAGTGATAGCAAGCTAGCAACCCTAGCAATAGATACTATTCAACCAATATCAGACAAAGGGTAATACGTATTTGTAACTAATGCGTTTAATTAACTTAATATATGAGCATATAATGAATTTTGTCAGTTCCTAACATCCTCCCTCAATTTAATTCTTTTATCTAACCTGTGCGCGTATTCCTATTGTAACTCACCTCCTTTAAACAAATAGAAGAGGCTCATGAAATTGTCCTTATGAAGCAGTATATTGGAAGGGTGAAAAGATACATTGTACAAGTGACCTGAAACCTTGGTACAAACAAATACTTCTAAGTAGTTCCTATGTCTATATCGGACTATACCAAACTGTGAAGTTTGAACATTTCAAAGATAGGCAAGTGACTCATGTAGAACATAAAAAATATTATAAATAGAAGTAAAGAAAGCCGAGAATATACATGTAGCTTTGATGAAATTTAGAAACATTCATGATGAACAGGCAAAGGGTATGCTTTTTGTACGCTTGGTGTCAGATAGTGGTGTGCAGTGCCTCACTCAAGGGCGCATCACCGATGTTAGCAATCTGTGAAGTGGAGAGCTATATTGCAAGGGTTGCTTATGCATAAGTCGTGGTGATTTCAGAATAAAATATTGAAATTGAGGTACAAAATATGCACTCATGGGTAGGGATAAAAGAGGCCTTAAAATTTGATTTTTCTGATTGTTTGAAGGAAAGTGTTAATTTTTCATGGAAGCACAGCTTCTCCCTAAAATCTAATCTAGTAAGCACATAAAGAAAGCAAAAAAGAAGTACAAGAAACAGACAAGGTCTATGTGGTCCATACTCTGTGAGGCATGGACAAGTGAATTCTGTATGATAAAAGAACATACACTTCGTCACTCAAGGCCCAATAGTTTCTACTGAAAGTGGAGGATGTAGAGCATGAGCTTTCCCCCAATATCCACGATTCCGCAGTGCATATCAATCTCACAGACGTCGTCTACACTCTTCACTTGATCTCCAAGAGTCATTATAATAGCATACGATCCAATAACAGATTAACCTCTTACTAAGAGATCTAAGAGCTTTACCTATACGAGAGCAAATTCCTAGCATTTAGAAGTTAGCAGCCAAACAAAGGGTCAGTTTTGCTTAGGCGTTCATTGATTAAGCAAATGACCATGCCCATCTAATTAACTTGAAGGTGACAAGAGAAAAGGACACGACAAAGGAAGCTAGAGATCTCCTCAACCATAACCCATAATGGGAAAAAGTTGTACCTTGGGAACTCCAATATAGAGGCAAATTCTATGTGTTACTATAATATAAACTAACAAAAATTTAAACTCACCTACTAAAATCTTGAACAAATGAACTGCAGAATGTAGCAGAGGGATGAAAAAACTTCAGAAGTTTTTTCAGTCTATACACTAACTCACTTGAATTGCAAATTTTTAGTTTTTAAAAACTTTCAGAAATAAATTGGATCAATTACCAGATTGGTATTTTTGTACACCCCTCTTACTAGTTTGGTGTTTTCCCTAGCTTCAATGATTTTTTGGTACCTTTTCTGTGCATCATGAATCCATGATTAGCCGCTAAAGTATAATGCCAAGCCTGGTTTGGATCAGATGGATTGGGGTCCTCTTGCCTAGCAGTTTGAATCAACCAGAGTCCTATGTGGAGCACAACATTGAAAATGCTCAATTGAAAATAGGTTGGATTATGAATGTAAATGTTCATGAAACAAAATCCGTAGAAGTGGAGAAAATGGAACATATCTATTACTTTTCTTTTATGAGGCGTGATGGTGGATAATTTCCTCCTGAGGTTCAAACCAGTGAACTCTTGAGGTTGCAATCTTTTAACATGAGTTAGAGAACATGCTACATTTTGTCTCCAGCACTTCGTAATGATATAACTAGGAAAAAGAATGACAAGTAACTAGAAATGATCTGCTGAGCTACAAAAAGGCTTAAAATTCATCACTGCACTATTAATCAGAAGGAAGAAATTTATTATATTTAGAAATGGAGTACTTTACTAATTATGAAATAAATTGATTTAGTTTCTTCATTTTATCTTATGCAACTTCTTTGGATCTATGACTAACTATTCTCCTTTTACTATGTACCAGCTTGGCTACACCTTTCTCCCTTGTGTGCTTGCTGGATTAAGTCGTGCACCACAGTACGTGGTCGAGAAACCTGGCAGCTTAGAAGCTGGTTATGTATTAGCTAGTGATGTTGACAGTGTACTTCTTCCTATTGATGCTTGTGGAGGGGATGGTGCTCTTGCTTTTGCAAGAAGGGGGCTAAAAAATAAGGTACATATCATTATCATTGATATAGTTACTGGTTATCTATTGATCCTATTAGCTTGTGATAGCAGTATTTGTTGCTCAGAATCATTTCAAATTCTAACTATATTGACTGCTTTTGTCCTTGAAAAATTGTGCTTGTTCATTTTCCTGATGTAAATTTCACATAACTCCCTGATAGTAATTACATTAAGCTACTACATGGCCCACATGTAACAACTTTTGGACAATTTTATTCCTATCTACTAAATATAAC